AGGTTGATTGACTTCGCGGCAGCAAAAAACATGGTAGTTAGCAGCACCAGATTCAAGCATCTCGATATACACAAGGAAATCTGGATTTCTCCTGATTAATCAACAATAAATCAATTTGATCACGTTGTGATAAACGGGAGGCATTCGTCCAGTGTATTAGACGTTCGATCGATCAGAGGATCGAATATCGATTCGGACCATTACCTTGTGGCAGCCAAGGTTCGCATTCGTCTTAATGTATCAGTAGAGGTGCGATCTAATGTAACGCGGAAGTTTGACGGCGAAAAGCTGCAAACACAACAGGTAGCCGAGGCCTAACCTTACCCACCTGCTTGACGAAAGCACTTCTTGTCCCGATAATAGTATAGAAGCACAACGGCAAAGAATTGCTCACTCCCCACAAACTGCAGCAAAAGCAAAACTTGGGTACCAAAAACCGCCATCTAGAAACCCGTGGTACGATCAGGAGTGTCGTAATGCTACTGATGTGAAAAATGTAGCGTATAGGGCAACCTTGCAGACAGTAGCAACACGTAATGTGATGGAGAATTATCGGGAGAATAGGAGAGAGGAGAAACGTATTTTCAAAAAAAAAAGATAAATACCAAGAAAATCGTGAGCGTGAGCACATCGAAATGTACAGGGGTCAGAATGAAGTCCGGAAATTCTACCAACGAGTAAAGCACCACACCAAAGGTTTTGGCGCAGGCACATCCCCCTGTAGAGATTAAGAAGGAAACCTTCTGGTATCAAATAGTAGCGGCGAAGAGGATACCCCAGAACCAATAATAAATGACGGTATATAGTGTATACCACCTAACCAATATGATGTCAGAATAACAATCAATCGGCTGAAGAATAATAAAGCAGCAGGTGCCGATAGTTTACAAGCCGAACATCAGCTGATTAGTACAATTTGGCATCCTGTGTCCCGTGCAGAAAAAAAGGAGAGAAGACGATATGTGCCAACTATATAGAAATAAGTCCATCGCATATAAAGTGTTAACGACTGAAGCCAATGATCAATGACATCATTGGACCATACGAATGCGGCTTCAGATTTTCACTCTGCAACAAATCCTGAAAAAAAAACCCACTAAAAACACATCGACACTTTCCACCTATTCGTCGACTATAAGGCCGCATCCGTTCAGAGGTGTATAAAGCCATGTCTCCGTTTGGCATTCCTTTAAAATTAATTTGGCTATGCAGGATAATTTTAAGTGGCACAAGATCAGCAGTTAATGTCGGAAAGGACCTCTCGGCGCCCTTTCATACCGAACGAGGTTTCAGACAAGTTGACAGTTTGTCGTGTGACCTTTTTAACATCCTGCTGGAAAAGGTCATACGAGAGGCAAATGTGAACAGAAATGACACTCTGTACACCAAACAACACATCTTACTCGCCTACGCCGATGACATCGATATAATGGGTGGAACATTGCCAGGGGTAACAGCCACCTTTAAACAAATTGAAAAGGAGACTGCCAGTAAACGGCGAGAAGACCAAGCGGGTGGTATTAACGCGCAAGACGTCCAGTAGACTCGGACCAACTGTGGAACTTGAGAACTACAGCTTCGAGGTAGTCAAAGATTTTATATACCTTGGTACCGCTATAAATAAAACGAATGACATCATTTTTAAAAATCGGAGAAGGATAGTGATGGCCACCGATGCTACTATGGTCTAAGTAAGCAATTTTGAAACAAGGCCACCTCCCCCCAGACCAAACTAACACACTACAAGACGCTGATACTACCTTTGCTATTATATGGATCTGAAGCATGGGTACTTTCGCAAGCAGATGAGTCAGCTCTTAGAGTGTTTGAGAGAAAAATTCTCCGAAAGATCTATGGCCCGATTTGCGTTGACGGTGAATATCGCCGACGAATGAACAATGAGTTGTACCAGCTATTCTCGGCACATCGACATTGTTAGACGTATTGAGATGCAGCGTCTACGTTGGCTAGTTCATATTGTGAGAATGGATGAAGATGCCCCAGCCCAGAAGGCATATAAAAGCGTACCAGCTGATGGTTCACGCCAAGACCAAGTGGACGACAACATTGCCGAATATGATCTTTCAAATTGGAAAAACTGCACAAAAGACCGACGGGCCTTGAAATCTTTTTTAAGCTCGGCTTATGGAACGAAAGTTCTGTCACAAGCCAGCTAAGTAGGATTTTTTAAAAATATTTTTTCAAGGCGTGGATTTTTTAAAATATATGTTTAAGGCGTGGATTTTTTAAATATTTTTTCAAGGCGTGGATTTTTTAAAGAATATTTTTTCAAGGTGTGGATTTTTTAAAGAATATTTTTCCAAGGCGTGGATTTTTTTAAAGAATATTTTGTCAAGGCGTGGATTTTTTAAAAATATTTTTTCAAGGCGTGGATTTTTTTAAAATATTTTTTCAAGGCGTGGATTTTTTAAAGAATATTTTTTTCAATGTGTGGATTTTTTAAAGAATATTTTTCCAAGGCGTGGATTTTTTAAAGAATATTTTTCCAAGGTGTGGATTTTTTAAAAATATTTTTTGAAGGCGTGGATTTTTTAAAAATATTTTTTTGAAGGCGTGGATTTTTTAAAGAATATTTTTTCAAGGCGTGGATTTTTTAAAAATATTTTTTGAAGGCGTGGATTTTTTAAAAATATTTTTTTGAAGGCGTGGATTTTTTAAAGAATATTTTTTCAAGGCGTGGATTTTTGAAAAATATTTTTCAAAGGGTAACATCCATACAAGGCGTGGATTTTTAAAGAATATTTTTTCAAGTCGTGGATTTTTTACAAATATTTTTTCAAGGCGTGGATTTTTAAAAAATATCTTTTCAAGGCATGAATTTTTTAAAAACATTTTTTCAAGGCGTGGATTTTTAAAAAATATCTTTTCAAGGCATGGATTTTTTAAAAACATTTTTTCAAGGCGTGGATTTTTGAAAAATATTTTTCAAAGGGTAACATCCATACAAGGCGTGAATTTTTAAAGAATATTTTTTCAAGCATCCATACAAGGCGTGGAATTTTTAAAGAATATTTTTTCAACCATCCATACAAGGCGTGGATTTTTTAAAGAATATTTTTTTTAAATATTGTATCCCCAATCGAAAATGCGACATTTCCCTTTATTAAATTAAAACACTGGTTTATTTTTTGTTTCTTTTTTTGCATTATTTTACATTCATTTTTATTATCATTATTTTTTATTTTTCATTTTATAGTGGTTGTTCTTGGATTTGTTTTATTATTTTTTTTGTTTGTTATTAATTTATTAATATTTTTATACTTAAATATTTAGAAAAAAAAAATGTATATTTAAAAAAACTCAGTGGATTTTTTTTGTTTACTTCATGGGTTAGATTCAAGCGCCGAACAAAAAATATATGAAAACTAAAAGTAGAGAGTTCATTGAATGAAAAAGAGGGCAGGTCGTGGGAATTTATGGGGTCATAAAATAAAAAAAAAAAACAAAAAATCACAAAAAATAATAAAAAAATTTCAGCGGCAAGTAATTACAATTTAACAAAAAAAAAATAAAATAAAATTTAAACATTTTGAAGGAAAGAATTTTAATTCCAAAACCCTGTTTTATAGATGAAGTAGGGAAACAATTCCCATTTTTCTTTTTCAATGTATGTATGTGTGCTGAGTGTGTTTATATATTTATATTTGTTGTTGTTGCATGTAAAAATTATTGAAAAATAAATTAAAAAAAAAAAAATAATTCAAAAAAATATATTTCAATTATGATAGTGACCCTCTAATGTTTAGCTTAAGTATTGAGGGGAGAGAGAGACAGAGAGGATTTTCTTGTGTCCTGATTTGCCGTTGGAATATGAATAAGCATTGTGATTGAAAATAATTTATATCTTTTTATTTTTATTTTTTTATACAAATTTTAAAATCTTTTTATTTTGTTCCTAAATTTTCCATAAACGATATGAATGAAGAGAAGTGGGGGTATGGGTTGCAAATTTCCATAATATATTTTTTTTTCTTTTTTGCAAATTCAATAATGTACAAATTAAGCCGGGTTTGCTTTCCCAAAGTAACACAATACCAAAGCCAAGGGTATAAAATTTCTAAATAAAAATTAATAAAAAAAATATATATATATATATATATATATAAAAAAAAAAAAAGAGAGAAGGATAGGATAACCTTATTAGAGAGTGGACGATGATATCAAAATGTGGGTGTGTTTTGAATTTCATATTTTACTGATCGTTCATTAAATTGAGAGGAGGAGTTGAAGGAAGAGGTGTTTCAAAACAATATTTGTTGTTTTTAAATTTTATTTTTAAAAAAAAGAGAGGGCATCATTTTCATCGTGTTCATTTTAGATTTTTTTCTTGATTTGCTTGTGTCCTTGTGTTTTTGTTGTATAATGTATAATTAAAAATCTAACTATAAATGAGTTTTTTGTTTATTAATTATTATTTTTTAAATATTAAATCAATTCTCTTCTTTATATTCTATTCATATATCGATCATGTGTTTTGTTGTTGTTGTTTGTTTTTCTTATTCTTCTTCTTCTTTTTCAAAATAAACAATATGTGTCTAATACAATTAATTTGGGGCACGTTTTTCAGTTCCCACAATAAATGAACGAAAATTCCAACCACCACCTGGAAGATTTTGGATCCTGGTTGGGGCGGTTTACATTTTAAAAAGTCTACAATTTTGTTTAAATTTCTCCTTGTTGTTGTTAGGCATTTAAAGAGTATTCACATGCCAATGGTAAATGTGGATGATGGGGTGTTGTGAAAACGTTTTTTTTTATTCCAAAATTGTTTCAATAAATAAAAAAAAATATTTTGAGAATTGGTTCCATCATTTGTTTTTCCCTTGTGTTTTTTTTTCTAAATTCTTCACAAAAATTATGAACATGATTTTCTAAAGGATTTCAATTGTTTTCCTGTTGTAAGAAGAAGTGTTATATGTGGGCATGTATGTGTGTGTTTGTTTTTATAGTAAGAAGGGGGTCATAATCATCAGCAGCAGCATCTTCATCTTCTGATCCACATGTTTTGACACTTAAGCTAGATAAACGTAAACCTTGCGATCATCTGGCGTTCTAGCCAAATATTCCCGTTCGATAAGACCTTCTATTCGTTTCTTAATCAGTACCGGTGAGGGTAGGAATCTTGATTTCAATTGTGATGTAACATCGGACACCAGTAAGTTGTGCTGAAATAACAAAACAAAAATAATTTAGAATTGATTTTTGTATTTGAATTAAAGAAACAAATCTTTCATACCGGCATACGCTTTCTAGCCTTCATAATACGAACAATCGCCGCCTCAATTTCATGTTTACGATCCTCATCAACTTTGCCGCGTGTTTCTTTGCGTTCTGGCTCGGTATCGGCTTTAGCGGCCACAGTTTGAATTTTAACTCTGGAAGAAAAAGAAAAAAAAACACAGATCAATAAAAGAAGTTTTAACTATTATTATTAGTCCGTGAAAAAAATCTACGCTTTATTAAGTCCTTGAAAAAAAATCTACGCTTTATTAAGTCCTTGAAAAAAATCTAGACCTCCAAAAAATACTCTTTAAAAAATCCACGCCTCTTATAGACGTCCAAAAAATACTCTTTAAAAAATCCACGCCTCTTATAGACGTCCAAAAAATACTCTTTAAAAAATCCACGCCTCTTATAGACACCTGAACAAATATTCTTTAAAAAAATCCACGCCTCTTATAGTCCTTTAAAAAAATCTATAGACCTCAAAAAATATTCTTTAAAAAATCCAAGCCACTTGACCTCAAAAAAATCTACGCCCTTATTCAAAAAATATTCCTTTACAGACCTCAAAAAAATCGTTAAATAATATACACTTCTTATAGACCTTATTAAAAAATCCAAGCCTCTTATAGACCTCAAAAAATATTCTTTAAAAAATCCACGCCTCTTATAGACCTCAACAAATATTCTTTAAAAAATCCACGCCTCTTATAGACCTCAAAAAATGTTCTTTAAAAAATCCACGCCTCTTATAAACCTCAAAAAATATTCTTTAAAAAATACACGCCTCTTATAGACCTCAACAAATATTCTTTAAAAAATCCACGCCTCTTATAGACCTCCAAAAATATTCTTTAAAAAATCCACGCCTCTTATAGACCTCCAAAAATATTCTTTAAAAAATCCACGCCTCTTATAGACCTCCAAAAATATTCCTTAAAAAATCCACACCTCTTACAGACCTCAAAAAATATTCGTTAAAAAATCCACACTTCTTATAGACCTCAAAAAATATTCTTTAAAAAATCCACGCCTCTTATAAACCTCAAAAAATATTCTTTAAAAAATACACGCCTTCTATGGTCTTTGAAAAAATATTGTTTAAAAAATCCCCGCCTTCGATGGTCCTTGAAAAAATATTCTTTAAAAAATACACGCATCGGTTATGTCTAGAAAAATATTCTTTAAAAAATACACGCCTCTTATAGACCTCAAAAAATATTTTTTAAAAAATACACACCTCTTATAGACCTCAAAAAATATTCTTTAAAAAATCCACGCCTCTTATAGACCTCAAAAAATATTCTTTAAAAAATACACGCCTCTTATAGACCTCAAAAAATATTCTTTAAAAAATCCACGCCTCTTATAGACCTCAAAAAATATTCTTTAAAAAATCCACGCCTCTTATAGACCTCAAAAAATATTCCTTAAAAAATCCACACCTCTTACAGACCTCAAAAAATATTCGTTAAAAAATATTTTTCCAAAAATATAAAAAATATTATAGACCTCCAAAAATATTCCTTAAAAAATCGACGGCTCATTAAGCCTTTGAAAAAAATATTCTTAAAAAAATTTATTTTTTATATATTTGTGAGAAAATATTTGTTTTTTGGGAAAAAGTAACTCACCTGTGGAATTTCGAAACGAAGGCATCGTTCACCAGAAATTCATCCGATGGATCGATATCTTTAGTTTTTGTTTTAGAATTTCGCACCAGCAAACGTTGTGAGGGTTTACCCATCGATAGCGATTGAATAGCACGCTGCAGTTCACGTTCGGGTATATCAGTTTCCTGTAGAATTTCCTCATATGTCATAACTTCGCGATTATTGAATAGCATCAATATGCACATCTAAACAAATCGAACAAAAAGAAAATGAAAACGAATTAATGAATTAGGGATCGCAATAAATAAAAAAAGTATTTGACATTACCTGATACGTCGACACCGTCAAAATGTGTTTACGTGTTGTTGTGGGTATTGCACAAGCTGTCGCACTTGTCGATGAGGACATACTTGAACTGGGAGCTTCTTTATCAGCAGCAGCAGAGGCGGCTGCGGCGGCGGCATTGGCATTTTCCGTTGGTTTACGTCCATAGAAGACAGCATTTAGACAAGCATTGCCTGTGAAAAATAGAGGGAGATTATTTTTTATTAGATTTAATTATTTGTTTTTTTTTTTTGTTTTTGTGACCTACCCAATTGTGGTTGCAGAGTCAATTGACGTCCTGAATGTTTATCCAAATAGAATTTCTTAAATATTTCATAGGCTTCTCTGGGAGCAGCTGGTATATTACAATTGGGCGTTGAAGTCTAGGACATATAAAATTTATTTTATTACAACTTTTTAAAAATTCAAATGAGATTGGTTCCACAATGACAAAAGGAAGAATATATATTTTCATCTAAAGGAATTTTTGTGGTATTGTCTTCCTTTTGTCATGATGGAATAACAAGTTTTGGAACACAATTCTTATTCTACAAAAGGTTAAAAATTTACCCCAGAAATTGTTGTGGTTGTTCGTTACATACCTGTGTGGGCCAAAATCCTGTAGTTAATATTCTACATGTAAATTCTACAGTCAAATTAATGTTGTGATTGGTTATATAGGTTTTGAACTCCTCATTGGTGGTATTCGATATAGACATATCCTTGAACATTCCCTCCAATTTAGATGTGAATTGACAGCCACACTCAGTCTGAAAAAATAATAATAAATTTAATTGATTTTTAAATTTTTTTTTAAATGGTAACAGGCGTAAATTTATAAAAATAATTTTTCAAGACCCAACAAAAGGTCTGGATTTATAAAAATAATTTTTCAAGACCCTACAAAAGGCGTGGATTGGATATTTTTTCAAGGCCTACGCCTTGTGTTGGCCTATAAAAATATCCTTTAAAAAATCTACGCCTTGTGTTGGCCTATAAAAATATCCTTTAAAAAATCTACGCCTTGTGTTGGCCTATAAAAATATCCTTTAAAAAATCTACGCCTTGTGTTGGCCTATAAAAATATCCTTTAAAAAATCTACGCCTTGTGTTGGCCTATAAAAATATCCTTTAAAAAATCTACGCCTTGTGTTGGCCTATAAAAATATCCTTTAAAAAATCTACGCCTTGTGTTGGCCTATAAAAATATCCTTTAAAAAATCTACGCCTTGTGTTGGCCTATAAAAATATCCTTTAAAAAATCTACGCCTTGTGTTGGCCTATAAAAATATCCTTTAAAAAATCTACGCCTTGTGTTGGCCTATAAAAATATCCTTTAAAAAATCTACGCCTTGTGTTGGCCTATAAAAATAAAAATATCCTTGTGTTGGCCTATAAAAATATCCTTTAAAAAATCTACGCCTTGTGTTGGCCTATAAAAATATCCTTTAAAAAATCTACGCCTTGTGTTGGCCTATAAAAATATCCTTTAAAAAATCTACGCCTTGTGTTGGCCTATAAAAATATCCTTTAAAAAATCTACGCCTTGTGTTGGCCTATAAAAATATCCTTTAAAAAATCTACGCCTTGTGTTGGCCTATAAAAATATCCTTTAAAAAATCTACGCCTTGTGTTGGCCTATAAAAATATCCTTTAAAAAATCTACGCCTTGTGTTGGCCTATAAAAATATCCTTTAAAAAATCTACGCCTTGTGTTGGCCTATAAAAATATCCTTTAAAAAATCTACGCCTTGTGTTGGCCTATAAAAATATCCTTTAAAAAACGCCTTGTGTTGGCCTATAAAAATATCCTTTAAAAAATCTACGCCTTGTGTTGGCCTATAAAAATATCCTTTAAAAAATCTACGCCTTGTGTTGGCCTATAAAAATATCCTTTAAAAAATCTACGCCTTGTGTTGGCCTATAAAAATATCCTTTAAAAAATCTACGCCTTGTGTTGGCCTATAAAAATATCCTTTAAAAAATCTACGCCTTGTGTTGGCCTATAAAAATATCCTTTAAAAAATCTACGCCTTGTGTTGGCCTATAAAAATAACCTATAAAAAATCTACGCCTTGTGTTGGCCTATAAAAATATCCTTTAAAAAATCTACGCCTTGTGTTGGCCTATAAAAATATCCTTTAAAAAATCTACGCCTTGTGTTGGCCTATAAAAATATCCTTTAAAAAATCTACGCCTTGTGTTGGCCTATAAAAATATCCTTTAAAAAATCTACGCCTTGTGTTGGCCTATAAAAATATCCTTTAAAAAATCTACGCCTTGTGTTGGCCTATAAAAATATCCTTTAAAAAATCTACGCCTTGTACGCCTTGTGTTGGCCTATAAAAATATCCTTTAAAAAATCTACGCCTTGTGTTGGCCTATAAAAATATCCTTTAAAAAATCTACGCCTTGTGTTGGCCTATAAAAATATCCTTTAAAAAATCTACGCCTTGTGTTGGCCTATAAAAATATCCTTTAAAAAATCTACGCCTTGTGTTGGCCTATAAAAATATCCTTTAAAAAATCTACGCCTTGTGTTGGCCTATAAAAATATCCTTTAAAAAATCTACGCCTTGTGTTGGCCTATAAAAATATCCTTTAAAAAATCTACGCCTTGTGTTGGCCTATAAAAATATCCTTTAAAAAAGCTACGCCTTGTGTTGGTCTTTAAAAAATCTAAGCTGTGTGTTGGCCTTTAAAAAATCTACGCCTTGTGTTGGTCTTTAAAAAATCTACGCCTTGTGTTGGTCGTTAAAAAATCTATGCCTCTAATTGACCTCCAAAAAATATTCTTCAAAAAAATCTTCGCCTCTTATAGAGCTCCAAAAATTTTTCTTTTATAAATCAACGACTTGTAAGGACCTCAAAAAAATATTCTTTTATAAATCAACGACTTGTAAGGACCTCAAAAAAATATTCTTTTACAAATCCACGCCTTGTAAGGACCTCGAAAAATATTCTTTTACAAATCCACGCCTTGTAAGAACCTCGAAAAAATTATCTTTAACAAATCCACGCCACTTATAGACCTCCAAAAAACATTCTTTAAAATATTAAGGCATCTAATAGAGCTCAAAAAAATATATTCTTTAAATTATCAAGGCCTCTTAATAATATCATTTGACTTACCTTCAATTTTGAAATCATATTCTTTTCAAAATCATCAGATACCGATTTATTGAGCAGCAATCTCTTGGCCAAATGAGTTTTGTAGTATCGCTCGAAGACATCCTTCTCCAGCAGGAATCTAAACAAAACCATGGTCTTATCCAAGATAACTTCAATTTCCTGTTCGCTCATCTAGAAACAAACAAAACAATTAAATCTCCATTTCTTAAAATTGAATTTATCTCCTCCAAAACTTACTCCTTTGCCACCCTTCTTCAGTTTGTCATCAATGAATAGCGACAAATATTCCGGTGATTTGGAATTCAAATTAAGGAAATGCTCAAAATCAGACGATATGACATTCTTAAATAGCCGATCGTTATTGAACGAATGATGCAGAAATTGATCGAAACGATCTTTCAGATCCAAAAGATTTTGAACAAATGTTATGGGATTTGTGTTGCCATTCTCCTCCTCCTTGACCAGCATACGGCCCTGTTCACGCAAATAGGCCGACATTGTGTCGGCAATAACTTTCAGACCCTCGTCTTTGAGGCGTGAAAATAATTTATATGTACATGCCAAATCTTCGGTTTTGGAATTTTTGATCATATAAACGACACCGGAATTTTCCATTTCGACAATGGTTCGCATGTGTTTCTTGATCAGTTCATCTTCGACAACTTTGACGATACGCGGTTCGGTGTCTTTGTCTAAGTAGAGGGCGGCCCGTGAGGATTCTTCCATGATGCGTTGCTATAAGAAAAAATATCCGATGTTGAGTATTTCAAAATGAATGATGAATGGAAATTATGATTACTTACCTCCACCTTCCTTAGATAGACACTGGCATTGTTTTCAGCCAAAAACTTTTGTGATTCAAATTTATAGAACGAAGCCGATTGTGCCAAGAAGGGTTTCTCAAAATCATCCTCATAGACCGAACGGGAGTTTATACCCAAGGCCATTAACATTTGGCAAGCATTTTTAATGGCCAAATGATTTATGGCCTCGCCGCTGCGTTCATCCATGACCATATTCAAAAGGGTTTCACGCAAAGCTTTCTGGATTTCCGAATAGCGAACAATCTGCAAGAATTGAAAAGCACCACAAATTAAAAAAATAAATCAATCTCCATTGTTTGAAAATCACCTACCTCATCCCTAAATAATATTAGACCCAAATTATAGACATTTTCCACTTCCCGATTCTGCACATAGACACGATCCATATACATTAAGATGTCGCGTATCATTACCATTGATGTCTGATGATCAGTCCAGGCTTGATTCAATTTTGGCAAAAAATTATTATGTAAACTTTCGAGGACATCTTTGCGCACCTTCTCTTCGAGATGTTCCTTGACCACTTCACGCAAACCGAAATACAAACGATGTCCATATTTATGTAAGACCATATTATAGGCATTACGATATAATTGTTCAAATGATAGACCGGAATTGTTTTTCTTTTGAATTTCCTGTATGGCATTCTTTAAGCTGGCCCATATTGTTTCGACATACTTCTCGTCCATGGAGGCCTGAAAGGAAGGAAAAGAAAAATAAAATGGAAAATTAGTAAAAATTGGGAAGGAATTTTGAAAAAATTTAAAAAATCCACGCATTTTTTTAGTCCTCAAAAAATATCCTTTAAAAAATCCACGCCTTTTTTCGTCCTCAAAAAATATCCTTTAAAAAATCCACGCATTGTTATAGTCCTCAAAAAATATCCTTAAAAAAATGCACGCATTTTTATAGTCCTCAAAAAATATCCTTTAAAAAATAAACGCATTGTTATAGTCCTCAAAAAATATCCTTTAAAAAATTCACGCCTTGTAAGGACCTCAAAAAATAATCTTTAAAAAATACACGCCTTGTAAGGACCTCAAAAAATAATCTTTAAAAAATCCACGCCATGTAAGGAACTCAAAAAAATTTTCTTTAAAAAATCTTATAGGCCTTGTTTTGGCCTATAATAATGTTCTTAAAAAACTACTTTCAATGACCTCTTAAAAAATTCCTTAAAAATCAAGCCCTTCATGGATCGAGCTTCTCACAAAATGTGAACTTTCTGAAAATATATTAATCGAATATCAAGATAATGGAATGCCAGCTTTGATCCAAACTTTGAAAATCGAAATATTTTTTGCCAAACCAACAATAAATTCCAAGATGGGGTCATAGGGACAACTTCATATGGAACTTCTCCAAAAATGGTCAACTCTGTGGAAAAAACATAGACTTTTTAAAACCGAAGACCTCCGCAAACCATAGGCTTTTTTACTTGTGATGTTTTTAACATAATGACGTCATTTTCGGTATGTGCAAGGTGGTCGTGGCCGATTTTTCCAAACCGATTTTCCATAGTTTGTTATTTTGTTTCCTTTCGACGTGGTCCTCAAAAAAAATTTTCCATCGATTTTAGAACCTCATCGTGGAGGTTCTAAAAAGTTTGACCTGCCAAATTTAAGTCCATTTTTTATTTTTCAACCTTCTTTTTTTACTAACTTCAAATCCATTATGACGATAATCGGGATGCCATAGCGGAAATTTCTCTTGAATTTCTTCCAATTTTAAATTGGCAATTCTCAATGTCCTGGGCGAATAGGTTTCATGCTTATTGTGAGAACTTTGTTTTGAAAAATTCCCATAATCTCTTCTGCTGCCGCCGCTGGTCATACATGATTTCAATCCAATCGAATTTCGAGTAAAAACTCCACCGCTCGTATTCAATTTACAATTACGACTTGTGGAGGGTAGTTCGGAATCATTATTATTATAGTTGTTAGGACTTTGATTACGATGTGTGGCGAATCCAAAACCTCTTCTATTACCGCTTACAAATGTGCCAGAATTACTATCATTTGTTTGTCGCTGCGGATTGGATGGGCCAACAAAATGATTGATTCCACGATGATCATTGATTTCTCTTCTACCCGTTCCTCTGCGCATTGATGATACTGATTTATTGCCCGTTGCTCTTTTGCAATTAAGGGATTTATAAAGATCGATTTTTTTTTTTTTTTTTTTTTTTTTTTGGAAAAAAAAAATCAATTTTTCTTCGACTAAGAACTAAGAGAAAAGGAAACTATAAATTTGAAATAGACAAGAAAATGTCTGTTGTCAGACATCAGACGTCATAGGGGCGCCGCCTTTGTTGTATTCGTAAAAAATAAAATTAAAAAAAAACTTTGAGTTTTTTTGTAATGTGGTATAGCTGAGGAAGATGGCCAGTTGATAACGCCCCCACACCTTGCATATAATGTAAACGATTAATGCGTTATACGAAAAAACTTTCATTGTTTGCCTTTGTAATGGCCATAAGATATTAAAAAAGTCTCAGTCGGTGTTGCCGACAGATATATACCCTCAGCCTGTTGTTGTTGTTGTAGCAGCTTGTACTCCTGTATATTTCTTTTTAATCTCCTCAATCTGGTTCTGCTTCTAACTCCAAATTCAAAAAGGCTGCGACCTGTATTGGTTTTGTCCACTGTGAAATTGAGGTTAGATGGGGGGTTTGGCTGGTGTAGCGTGTAATATGCCGGACAGATATTATTGACTGCGCCGTTAATTCATGCCCAATAAGAATTGACGCTGCTACACCATTTGTACCAAGACCAGTCTGGTTTGTCGGGGTGATCACCGAGGATCGTACACACACGATATTCTCAAAGTGCTTCCTTAACTACATCCGTGTGAGTTCAACTCAAACTAGCTTGATAGGTGTGTTGATCTAGAGGCTCCCTTTTGTATCTTTGGACGTCTCTCTCCAGATCATGAAGATCCTTCCTGGCATGCCATTAGGCAATGATTTGGATGACTACTTCTATAACACCAAAGCAGGTATAGCATCTACAACATCTTGTTGTGTTGATGGACAGGAAGGATCTTCGTCTCCTCATTTAAGTGGTCTATTGGAGTCATGAGGAGACACCCTTTTGCAGTCCATGTTAAATTTTGTTTCGATCTGGCAACTCCTTCATATAGAAACAGGTGTTCAAAAAAATACGCATCCGCAATTTTTTTACAATGAAAGCACGCATTTCTAATTTTTCCATTGTAAAAAATTGCGGATGCGTTTTTTTGAACACATGTTTCTATATGAAGGAGTTGCCAGATCGAAACAAAATTTAACATGTGTTCATAACAGAGATGGAAGTTTCCAAAGCACTTAATTTTTTTCTGTTTATACTGCGCTTTTTGTTCTAAACTAAGAACTTTCCGAACTGACCCCAAGTGCTAATATAATATAGCGACTTGTGAACTTTGTTTCTGATCCTGATCTTATCGCAAATAAATGTGGCGTGCGCGGACGACTTATATAGGCTATCGAATGCGAACCTTGGGCTAGTCGATGGTCAGATTTGTGGACCCATCGACCTGCACATTCAAAAGTAACCGCATCTCCGCTGTCCATGTGGTAAACAGTATGACCGTTGATTTAGTGACGGATATTTCCATATTCCTCGACCGGAAAAAATTCAGCTATTTCCAAGAGGTAGTGGTTGAGCCTCTCGTAAATGTCATCAATTTTGGGTCCTGACGCCATGATCGTACACCTTCCGCGTATGTTACGATATTTACGCCATCCGGCGACCGTGAAATTTCCGAAATATAGAGGTTTAACAGTTTCAAACTTGGCTGGAGGGTTGTTCTCTCGACGTGCTGGAACGGCTTGGCGTGACTGACGGTATCAAATGCCTTTGATATGTCCAGCGCCACCATAACTGTCCTGTTACACGGACTGTTCTGGTTGAGTCCTTCCCTCAGTCGGTGGTTTTGCGGAGGTCTTCGGGATTACTACACATTGGTTTTATTATTTGCTTTATGTTTTTTTCAAATCATCTTTGGAGAGGATCTAGATGATGTTGCTCTAAAGACGCTATCTTAGAATTTAATGTAGGTTTGGTAAAATATTTCGATATGCAAAATTTTTATAAAATCATAATTGCCATTATCATGATATGGAATTAAACAATTTTCAAAAATATTGACACTTTGTGAGGTAGATACCGGAAGTAGTGGACCCATATTCAAGCTTGGTCTATGTAAAGTAAATATAATACCATGTGCAAAGTTTCGATGAAATTGAACATTTCTTTCGATTCATATGAGAGTTTTTTGAGAATGTTGAGCCTTTGTGTGGGCGAGGTGCTACCAATTTTGGGGGATGTACCAGAAAAAATGGACCATTATTTTATAAAAAAAACAAAAATAAAAAATAAATATTCAGACTTTGTGATAATAAATCATTTTCCGAACAAAACTCTTAAAAGAGTAGATTTACGAGGGTGTGTTAATCACCCAGAAATGTTATCGGACTTGCTGAGGTTTCACCATTGCATTACGTTGAATACATATACCTACATATGTATATGAAATGCAAGCCCGATAAGTGAATATTATTTTATTAGGGGATTCCTAGAAATTAAGAAATTACTTTAAGCGAGCGATTCGATAGCGCGATACTGTGTAAATATCTAATTATTAGATCATACATTCGTTTTTAGGCAATCGAAAGTACAACAATGCTCATATTGACAAGTACGTTTGGGGTCTTGTAGATGAGAGGACATCGATGACTACTCAAGGCTCCAAGTGATAGCGTTGTTGTCCATGGTAAATTATTGCTCGGAAAATTTGACACCTAATGAGAAAGAAATTAGAGCGACTTCGGTTAGAAAAAGTACCTAAACTACCCAAAATATCGTATAATTTTAGTAGCATTAAATGGGGACTATTCTAAAAAAGGAGACTGATGTCGATAATTATTTTTGGTAGGAAGATTTGCCACACAATGCATACTCATCAAAGAACCAAATTACGGACAATTCGGTCAAAAAACGTATCCAAAAGAACAAACATAAAAGCTGGGCCAGGCTCAGGGGGAGAGTCTCGGAGGAAATGACCGAGTGCCTATGATCCCTGAGCAGACGAGGCGAGAATGGCCCCCTAAATTACCATCTCAAAGGTCTGGGTCATTACCTCTTAAAGTGACCCCCCAAACGCAGGGGTCATGCGACCTCGTGCCCATTAGCGTTCCATGGTTTGCAGTCAGGGTCCCGATTGTATTAGAACGAATCCTTGTTAATACCTAGGCGCCTCAACATGTTTATTCAGGTTTATTGCCATAGTAAGAAGCTATGCCATAGTCGACCTAAATTTCTCACCAAAAACACTTTCTATGGAGACGAACAAAAACAACATGGTACGCGATTTTTCGACTGATGTTTGTGTGGCTGCCTTGCCACCCCCAGTCTCGAACTCTACAAGGTCAGATTTCAATGAACCCCCTCAATTGTTGACGAGACAAGCTACTCCCCTGAACCTCTCTATTGCCTCAAATCCTGTTACTCTCGACGACGTGATCGAAAGCCTGGAGAGGCAGACGGATCTTCTCCTCAACTTATTAAAGGAAACCGGCTACTTCCGCCTTAGTCAGGAGAGCATCCCGAATCAACTCTGGGACGACTCACCCTTGCCATGGAAACTACTGTGATCAACACTACGGTGACGAACACGGTAGCTATCCTGTCTCGTCCGAAGCAAGGTGAGTCCTCCCAGATGATGAGTAGGGGTGTAAACCCTGGCGAGCTTGAGGATCCGAACTCCATGGCCTGTAGTGACGTCGCTAGATTTCTCAGCGGAGACTGGTACTGAGATTGGGCGGAAACTGGTACTGATGAGACTCCCGTCGTTAAGATGGATGAATCATCAGTACCAGAAACTGCAAGACAAGTCAACCCCAATCGGAGGGGACAGTGACTCCATCACGGAAAAGGAGTTCCTTTTGATCAATAGGAAACTCGAATTCATCCGTAAGTTCTCCAGAAACTATCAGAATGATATTGCGAAGGACTTCTTGATTGAAAGGAATCCTAGACCTAGTGCGAAGACCACCACGGTAGTCCCTTCAAAGAAGGAGAAAACTGTCGGAGGTCCTAGTACATCTAGAAAGCTGTACCTGAGACGTCTAAGCCCTCAGTAGCTCCGAAGGGTAAACTGTGTACTGAGACGTCTCAGACACCAGCATCCACGAAGACGAAGCGTAAGGGACTGTCGAAGTCAGCTCGACCGAGAGCTGTCTGCGCATCAGCATATGATTCGAAAGAGGGAGGAGGAGCTGCTATAAGCTACCCAAAACTGGTATGGGCGATAAATAGTTTTCAACCCTATAAATCTCCAGGTGTAGATGGTATAATACCGGCCATGCCGCAACACGCTGATGAACGACTATTAGTCTTTCTGCAAGACATTTTTAGGGTTTGTCTACTTTTATCGTACATACCTAGTCTATGGAAAGATAAGTATCTTAAGAATTGTCAAAAAGGACACAAAACCTACCAATTTATAACTGAATATATATTTTTTCTGCTCAGCCTATGTTTTGCCTTACCTTGGATATAACGAACAATTTTGCTTTATAGGGCATTATAAAATTGCTTTTAAATACTTACCGGGAAAGCGCGTATACGCATCTTTCCCTCCTTTTTGGGAGGGTTACTCCTGATATTCATTGTCTGTAGACGGCGACAATTTTCCTCCACTTTATCAACTTGACGTAACGCCGCCTGGGGGGTGCTGCTGCTGGCAGTTGTTTACAAAAAAACAGCAACACGGGTGACAGCGGTGCACCTGTGTGTTTAAGTTTTCGGGAGCAATTTAGTGTGAATGCGAGAATGACACACTAAATGTGAATTGCAAAAAAAACAATAACAACCACAACAAGAAATGATGGTTGGTTCGGATGGTTCGATGGTTGGCTGGTTGTTTTGTTGGTTGATATATTCTATGGTCACTCTTTACAATAATCCTGAAAAGGAAGAAGATAGAAAAAATAAATCAAATGAGTTATAAGACACAAACAAAAAGAAATGCAAAAACAACATCAACAATATTAATTATTTTCATTATAATTTATGTGTAATTATTTGTTTGTGTGTGTGTGTGTCTCGTCGGACTCTGTGTTGTTGATTTTTTGCAAATCTGTAATGATGAGTAGGAATTATTGTTGAATGCATGCATGATTGCGGCCGCCTCTGCCTAGGTATGCTTGTTGTATTTATTGTTGTTATTTTCTTGTCATTGTTGGCGGCTACTGTGGCTAGCCTTCTCTTGAGTTGTTGCTGAGAGGGACTCAATGGAGGAGAAGACAACTTATTTTTCCATTTTTCATGATTTTCACTGTCATCGGCCAGTAGCTGCAGCATTACACATTTTCTTCTTCTTGGATTTTTTTTGTTCATATTATTTTCCTTTGATTCATGTCCATCCATACGTCCTCCTTTTTTTCTTTTCTTTGCTATTCACTCTCCTCACAAATAAAACTGACTGACTTGACTGCCTCTGCTTGTTGTAATAAAGACTACTTTCAAATTGTCAAATTATTACAAAATCTCTTGTGTATGGACAAAACATTTCATGTTCGTAACAATTGCCGTTATGCGGTGATAAATTTGCAATATTTTTCCCGTAAGATTTACACACAAAAATATATATTTTTTTATAAAAATTTATTTACTTGACTTCAATTTTTCATTTTTACAGCACACACAAAATAAAATGAACGTATAAGTGAAAATGATGAAAGAGCAAAAAAG